CCCGGCTTGCTTTCTGCTGCTTTGGCTTGCAGTGGTCTCTGTGTTACTCAACAGCCCAGGAAAAACAGCCATGGCTCTGAAAACCCATCAGTGCTTCTGTGGCTGGGATTCACGTGTCAAACTGCACCGGCCTCGTGGGTTGGACATTGTGCAGAGTACAAGCACAGCAGGGGAAAAGGATGGTTAAAGCAGGAGGTTGTCCTGCCATTAAGTTAATTTTTTTGACTATATACCTGCACTTCTGGGCTTGCATCCAAGGCCTGAAGTACTTGTGCGGTTTCTTCCTGCCTCCATCAGTTTGGTTGTGTTCTCTATTCCCTTCTGAGCTGGTTATTAATTATGGAGACTTCAGAGATGAAGTCCAGACTCTGCTAATGGTTGACTTCCCTGTGTTTTAGAGGCAGCATTTCAGGGACCTGCTAATGGTATTTCTCAGCTTTGCTTTTTTTAAGCTCCGCTGTCGTCTTGGTTTTTACCCTGAGCGAGGCAGGTAGCAGTGTTCAGGTGTTGGCTGGAGCCTGGCTCTCGGGGCAGATCACATCTGCAGCACGCAGCTCATCCTCCTGGGTTGGAATGTCCTCCTTTTCATGCTGGCAGGAAGAACAGAGCCTTCCCTGGCAGCTCTCAAGCAGTGCAGTGACCCTTGCAGGGTGACACCTCTAAATTTCCCCTTTAGGAATCAGGGAACAAATCCATGCTGAGTGCTGTGCCGGGCCTCAGCTATCCTCACAAAACCACCCGTCTTTTTGCTCTTCGGCCTCCCTCCCAGCCTGTGTCTCAGCCTTTAAAGCTGCGTGGCCAAGCCCTGATGTTCTCACATCTCTCCCAGCCTTGTTATTCCTTCCCCTCCTCTCCCAGGAGTGGCGCTGAGCTTGCTCCTCCTCCCTGCCCCATCCGGGCTGCGGGTGCTGCCGGCCTTGGCGCCGGCTCTGTCTGCCCTTTGCTCTCCCTGGCCCGGCTGGTGCATCTCTATTCCTGCAGCAGGATCCCCTGTCCCTTCTGCTGCTGCCTGACCATCCACCCCAAAACTTCTGAGACATCTGGCTCTCCTTCTCCCACCTTGTTCCAATTTCTCTGCCGTTCACTTGTGTCCATCTGATACGGGGAATCAGCACTGTGTTTTTTCTCCTAGACCCTGCCAGGCTGTTCCCTGCCTTTGCAGCTGCTTCCAGCCTGCTTCTGGTCAGCCAACCTCTGTCCAGGGATGCACAGGAAAGAGCTGCCTGCTGCATACCCCACTCCCTGAGCTTAGCCTTGTGCTAGGGGGATGGGAAAAAAAAGGCTTGGGAAAACGGAAACAATGAGAGTGCAAAATCTTGTTTTGGTTTTTCCAGCTCTGCCTGTTTATATCCCCCCGGACTTATCCCTGGTATCGGATGGCAGCACTGGCCTGGGAGTCCCTGATCCCATTTTGCAATTCTCCAGTGTCAGCCAGCAGCTTGGGCCTTCCTGTAAATGCCCCAATGGTCACAGGGAAGGAATGTTCCCCCGGCCGCAGGGGAAAGGTCACCGCAGGCAAAGGGGACGCCAGGCGAGCGGCGTGCTGCTCCCGCCCCTTGCTGATGAGGGCAATGCTCATCAGCACAGAGACAAAAAGGCTGGCTTATGGGGGAAACTGGGAAAATAATGGTTCAAGAGGTTAAATATTCTGGGCAAGGCCCCACTTCCTTTCACAGGGGCAGATCTGGGAGCAGATGCAATGCCTAGGCAAAGTCCAGGATGCGTGCACGTTTCATGGCTCTCTTAGCTGGAGGATGTTTGCTGCTGAATCCGCTCCCAAAAACATCTGCGTGTCCCTTAAAGTGGTGCCTGGGACAGAGGTTTTGGCCAGTTGCTGCTGCTCGGAGCAGCTCTTGGGCTGAGCAGCGTGTTGTGGCTCCCTTCCCTTCCTCCCCCCGCCTGCCAACAAACCTCTCCGCTGGATACAACTCGGAAGGAAAGCTGTGAAAGCTGTGACTCGCGGTGGCGGTGGCCGCAGTGGGATTAACATCCAACATTAAGGGCTTAACTCATCCCTGCCAGCCAGGGGTTTCAAATAACTGCCATGCCTCTTCCTTCCACCTTGGAGCTTGTAGCTTTTTTAATCCTGTCCTTTACACCCTGTTTTCTAGGCTGCCTTTGCTAAGCTGGAGCTTGCTCCTGGCTTTATTTTTGAAGCCTGGCCTGTTGGTTGAAGCTCCTGGAGGTGCTGGTCACGTTTGTCAGGGTGGGAGCAGAGCAAAGAAAGGAGGAAAAATTTCTAGGTTGGGCTTACAAACCCGAGTTTTTTAAAATTCCCAGCGTGTTAAAAAAAATACAGAGCTAATCTGGCCCTTCGTCTCTAGGTTACGTTTGCCTCAGCCGAGGCTGAGCTCATGGAAAATTGCATCCCAGCTCCTGTGCTCCCTGCCAAGATTAGTAGGTTTAAAAACTAACCGATAACATCTTTGTAAACTTGGAGTCATTTCTTTAAAGCCTGCTGATCCTTCCAGCCTGGATTTTGGAGCTTTCCTAGAGATCCAAGAGAGCCAAACAGGACGATGGCATCTGCCCTGAAAAAATCATCCAGGAGCCTCACAGTGCTTTGAGCTCTTCCCGGGGGAGGAAAGAAGCTGATGTTTGCCAAGGCCCTGAGGGGTGTGTTGGGATCCTTCTCCCTGTTCCCAGCCAGATACACAGCACACAGCGATGCTCTGCGCGTAACTTATAATAATCACCGGTTTTATTTTTAAAAAATTACAATAGAAAAGTACCTTTAAACATATTTCCAAAAGCAGAGTAGACAATGTGGAAGCTTCTCTCCTCTCCACGAGACAAAGTACAGGAAATAGTTTGCTAAAAGAGTTAGTCCGTCGCTGGGGAACGCTGCTATCGTTCCTTTTAGAGCCGCTCTGGGGTTGGTCTTGGATTTGATTTCTTCTCACACCACTTTTATCAGGCCTGTTTATTACGAAGACCCCAACGGGACAGTTTCTGATCGTGAAAAACCCCATTTCTTCATCCCCCTGTCCCACCCTGACGGCCAGAATCTCAGCCATCTTATTTTGGCCCACCCACAGGACAAGAGGAAGAAGAAAGGAGAAGGTGATGTGTAACGAGGCCACGAACAGCTGGGGAAAAACCGGCTATGTGAGGCCTGGGCAGCAGCTGAGCTCAGTGTTCCCTGCAGCTGGAACGGAGATAGGGGAAAGGCAATGGAAGGAGAAGTTCTGCACCTCCCTTTGCAAGAAACCAAAACCTGATAGAGGTTTTGGGTCAGTTTGCTCTCTTCTTTTTCCAAATTCCTCCTGGAGCAAGGAGAAGGAGAACTAGTATGTCAAGAAGTCTCTCTGCTGGTACTCTTATCTCTGTAAAGGATGTTGGCAGCCTCCTTTCTCATCTTTGCACATGGAAGCATGGGAATGCCACGCAGGGAGCAACTGGACCAGCATAACATTGGCACTAAAACCACAGGCCAGGCCAGGCCAGCACTTCAGCATAAAGGGAAGCCCCTCAGGACTCATGTCCAACCTTGAGGAAGCTGTCAAACCAAGGATTTGTTGGTATGTTTTTTCATACATACAGCAGTTTACGTTGCCCGTAACAGCTTGGAGCAGTCATGGCAGGAGGAGGAGGAGGAGGAGGAGGCAAATTGTCACCTTGCTACATGTGTGGGCTGTCTGCCCATCCCTGATCCGAGCTGTTGTACCCCATGGAAGCTTTGCACAGCAGCTATGAACACAGCCCCAAGGTAAAAAAAAAAACAAAACACGGGAAGCAAGTTCCTGATTGTCCTGCCTGCTCGTCATTTGGTGCAACTGGGAAGAAAACAGTAATACTGTAGTGTCTGCAGACGCCTTGCCAACATGGCCAGGGCACAATTCCTGTGCCAGAGGGAGCACAATTCCTACAGACCCACATCGTGTGTGTCGACATCCTCACGCTTGTGAACATCATGCCTTCGACATGCAGCTGATGGGGCCGGGGATAATAAGACTCTTCTTTACACACCTCGGAAGTCAAGCACAAAACGTGTGGTCCGACCCTGTGTAAGATTATCCTCTTGAGGAGCTTTGGTACAAAAATACTTGCTCTTGTTTTGGCTTTTTTTTTCTTTTTCTTTGTTTTCTTCTTCTTTTTTTTTTTTTTTTTTTTTTTTTTTTTT